AAAATTGAACGAAACGATATAATACAACATCCTTCTCCAGATCATTTATTCTCCCCAGGAAAGAAAAAATGATCAACTCTTAAATCAAACTTTCGTCCAGCAAAGAAACAGCACAAAAACACGAAGATGAATTGGTTTTCCGTTCGGTATGTCCTTAATTTCTTAGCAACGACATCGTGAACTTGAATTCCAGTGACGGACAGTGTGCCACTCTCGAGGCGGGGACCATTCAGAAAACGAGGAAGCAAACGTTTGCCAGTGATGTCACGTAACGACCCGTTAGGAAGGCCTTTTGTTAACACGGTTGCATAAGATTATGCAAAAATCTGGGTCACCGATCGGACAAGAGAAACCAATCCGGGCTTCGATCCGTACCGGAGTACGTTATTACACAGTATCTGTCGTATCGGTTGGCTTTATACGGTTTAGAACACGCGACACGTACGAACAGGGCCCGTTAACAGCGATCGCGTGCGATCTGTCATCGTGGAATTCCAACGCGTTTCCTCCTTCGAATCGCTCTGAATATCTGCTCGAAGCAACGAAAGTGCATGGTTTTATGTACACTTGCAGACGATTGGACGTTGAACGCGGAAGCGGATATTTTGTCGTTTCGATTGATGCTGTTCTTATTTTTATTCGATTTTGGATTGAAGCAAATTGGTAGGCGTGGAAGAGCAGTATTAGTAATGATAGGATCGGTGTTGGTGCTTTAGGTGATAATAGGATTCGTATTGATAGTGTTGGCGATGGAAGCATTCGTGTCGGTGGTATTATTAATAATAGAATCGATATTGCTAGTATCGACAATAACAGAATCGGTATCGGTAGAATCGGCAATAATAGAATCTGTATCGATAACATTAACAATACTAAAATCGGTATCAGAAGTATCGGCAATAATAGAATCCGTATCGATGGTATTAAAAAATAATAGAATCCGCACCGGTAGTATTAGCGATAGTAGAATCTTCATCGGTAGTATTACCGTGCCGTCCCTATCAGCAAAAGTAGAATTACTATTACTAGCGCCACTAATACTAATACCAGTTTTATGGGAGAGTCTCCCGAGTATAAAATAAGAAAGTGAGATCGGTGATTAAGAAGCGGTCAGCATCTCGGAAACTTGTAGGTCATCAAAGCGAATCTCAGGTGGGGACGATAGAGAAGAAACGTACGTGTTTCTTTTCTCACTCGAGCACACGGATGAGTTCGAGTTCGTGAAATTAGGACCCTGGTCCGAGGACTCGATACAAGGGAATGCAAACTTTCATCGCCTGGAGCACTCGGACGCCGGGAGAGTGATCTCCACGTGTCCACTTTCATGAACCGAACACTCCCGTGGCACATTTTTTTTTTACCACGGATGCGAAACTACCGTTTTCCTTGTAATTAACCTTCTCATTCATTCTTCCCTTACAATACGAGTCTCTGCGAAATGCAATTTTTATTATAAATTAATTTCTAATCATTTTTTGGAAAATTTATTACATTTGTAATTACTTGTATAAAAAAACATGTATTTTATTTATTTATATAACGTAGACGAACGCAGATATGTATTTTATATTGGAGCTACCACTGACATGAATTTCGTAATAAAGATAAGATCAGTAATCGAGGTTATCCATCTTGGGAGAATGATCTGGAAAAATTAATTAACGTCATTGAGCGGACGTAAATAGGACGCTGGGTCATGATGACCGTGACATGGCACGTCCCTTTCCAATTCTTACGTTGTCCTTGATCAAGACTGAAAACTGTGCGTTTGCTGTTACTTGTATGCACTAGTTGTATGCATTTAAATGCAACTGGCGTTTCAATTTGTTCAGTGGCCTTCCAAGTAGCCGGCGGCCTTTCATTCCTCGTTTCTAATAGAACGGTGCCGGTGAAATGAACAGATTTGTGTATTTCTTCGCTTTTCCTTCGGCAACGAAATAGCATATATTTTTCTTTTTCTTTTAAACATATAAACGCTTAAAACATTCTGAATGCATCGAAAGAGGGTGAAAATTTCCTCCAAGTTTCTAATATTCGAATTTTTATGACAGCTTCAGTCTCAACTCTAATTGGATCGTGTCGACAGCAAAGAAGCATCGTGATCATTGGGAGAAAACTGGGCTACGTGATATTTCGTCGCGGTTTCACTTCGATCGACTGGGAGACATTTACAACTGGCCTCGTAACTTTCAATTAGTCGGAATTTTCCGCATCCCGAGCCTTCAAAACGTTCACAAATTACTTTGATACATCATCATCAAGAATCACTTTCTTCTATCCATGATAAAACATTATCTTTTTAAATCTCAACAATTTTCCAACTACTCTGGTGTGCTCTAACGATTCCTTGTTTCTATTCACTCGTTAATTTCAATGATCGGTATGATAATAAAAGAAAGTCGAATAGAATCGTTGAGTCACGGATGCATACATTAACATGAGGTTTATCGTTGTAATTGCATTCCTACGTCGATACACTTCTGTCTCGCGTGTCCTTTTACGTGGGCAGCCCCAGCTGTGACGCAAATGCCACGAAAATGTCGCTCCACCGTCTCGTTGCCAATCTGGGTTCCCAGTATTCAATTATTATACAACAGCAGTACAATTTAACTCGCGCGGAAACCGTGAATTAAGCATCGATTAAGGATTTTGACGTTAAAATTCACAAAATGGAATTAATCGCTACTTTGGTCCCTGAAAGACCTCATAGACGCGATTGACCCAGCCTAAGACACTGAATTCTTGAAAAATATCAGTTCCCATTGACTCTATATGATACTGAAGAGACGGAGGAATAGGGAAACGAAGTTCGCGCGTGGAACAGAGGCGGTTGCATTATTCCAGGTATTTTTGTCGGCGCCGGTTGGCCTTGCGGACATTACCTCCGGTGTTCCATTCACCATGGCTAAACAGGAGAGATCGTCGTTCGCAAGGATCTCTTGTAAACGAAGCCTCGATTCCAGCCAGCGAGGCAGCGAGGCTCGTTCGTCTTCTCGGTGAAAGAGTCGTCTACGGCTGGTGAATCGGTAATATACGATCGTATCGCGAGCCCTATGCACGATAGATGCCCGCAAACGGACCGTTTGCGGCTTGCATAACGTCCTCGCCGTCTTTACGCCGATCTTATCGTGCCCGCAGTTTGTTTTCCGACGCGTCTTCGACGCCTCTTCTCCGACCGCTGTCGCAAATATCTGTCGAAGATTCTTTTTTTTAAGCGAGAAATTGTGTAAGAATTGGACAGATTAGTTAATTTAAATACTACTCGGAATTTTGATCCACAGTGAAAGTGTTTCTTTCGATAAATTTATTTCCCAAGTTTCAAAGGTGGATAAAGGTTTTCGTTTCGCAGCCGTAAGCCCCGAGTCATCGTTCGCGAATCCGCTCCGGCATTAATTGAGGAATTATGTGCCGGCGAGTGATTACATGCATGTTTAATAAAGACGCGAGGCTCCGTTCTATCAAGACTCGTCGACCGCGAAATTAAACATTCATGAAGCCTTCGAGTTACTTCCACCGGGGGAGAATGAAGGAAAAAAAACACCGTGAATTTACTTGTCCCGTTAAAAAATCGGCTCCTGAACACTGGCGCGTTAATAATTATTCTTCGTCACGTATTTCTGTTTATTTTCCGGATCATATGGGTCACAAGAATTTACGCGACGCATTGTTACGTCGCGCAGACCGTTACATGAGTTTGTAGCCACGACTATTATCCGTTTAATGTATTCGTAGCCGTTAATGTTAATTCCATTGAACTTATGCAACTCGTCCCTCAAATTTACCTTCATTCACTAATTCGCCTCACGACGCTATCAATTTCGATCTAGCGCTCGTTCGTGTCCACTTTCTCACGGGTCTAATCAGAAATCTGTAGAGGTATGTGCAATTATGTATACAGTAGAACTACATTTGTCTGAACGATATTTTCCTTGATCGATTGAATTTATTAGAGATCTTATCGGCGAAGCTATTAGTCCAATTACCTATATAGTAAAATTTGATAGATGGAGTTTTGAAAAATTGTAATTTGTCATTTGGATAACTTAATACCTCCAAAATTGTATTATTTATTATCAAAGCGTTGTTCGCTCGAATGACAAAGTGTATAATTTTAATTAATCTAATTGCCAAACGTTAGTTGTCTACCCTCCTACTCTTTAATCTGCCACGACAAACACGTTAACAAGGAACACCGGTACCTATTCGTGTAAAATGGCTAGTTAATTCCTGGACAGGTTTTAATCGCAGGAAAACAGTTGCACGTACAACGCGACGCGAACAATCGCCACGGTGAGAGCCCCGCGTAAAAGTGGATATCCTATTACTGGAAAACAAGCGCGGTTATCTCGTCTTCAACAGGCGGAAGAAACAGCTGTTCACCGGGTGGAATGGTATTCCGATCAGCTTCCTATCCGTCGTCTTCGGGGTTTACACGTTGTAATCACGCCAAAACCGAACTGGCCGACGACAAACCCTTCCTGCATTCGCGAATTGCACAACGCGTTCCGCGACAAGTCTTTTCTCCCTTCTTCGAGGCTACCAATTAGAAAGTGTTTAACGCGTTTACAGCCGGTCGCTGGCTAACCTGATGCAAATGTCGTTTGCACAAGAGCTGACAACTCCAAAGCTGGCCAGAGACTTCAACGCCTGGAGCGCCATGTGCGTCAGTCGACATTCTTTCTTTGAACGAGAAACTAGTTTTTCGAAAAGAAAAATATCCTCGTTCTTTTGGAACAATGACACATTTCGTAAATAGTTAATTTTAAAATTAATTGCAAAAATTTGCAATTTTTATCTAGCAAACTGACGTTATGCTGTCAGAGTATATTCTTATAAATAATAACAAATTCACCAAGGAATTTTTCCTGTAATCTAAACAGTGAGCGAATAAATTTTCTTGCAATCCATTCAATTATCCTGAATCAACCGAGACAAATTTCTATTTAGAGCCACGATTCTCCAAGTATCGCGTAGGTGTATAAGGTGACAGGTGAACTCACCCTGGGATCGCGTTTCCACGTCAACGGAGAGCAACAGGATCGCTAGGATTAGCAGTTTCGTGAACCAGAGCCTCCACATGTCTTCGCCCATCTGCTTCCCACGTACCACAAAATTACCAGCTGACTTGGTGCACTCTCATGTAAAATGGTCCCGGATGGATACGTAGCCCGTTACATCGGCACCAAAATAACCGAACGTTATCTGCACTTAACGCGACCGTTTATCACCTTGCTCGCGAACCGTTCAGTTTCACGAATGAACGCACGAAAAACAAAAATTGAATTAATTTAAAAAAAAAAACAGAAAGGGTGATCTTTGAATAAAGAATTTGATAAGAGGAACGATATTATCCACCTGGTCAGCAGACAGAGTGCGGTTAACGAGAGCTACGGTACTCGAAGAGCTGAGCAGTCGACCGATTGACCTTTCTCCGGGTGCGTAACTTTGTCTGTGTCCCGGTGAGGACTGAAGGGGAAGCAAGGCCCGCCGCCGGCTGTTGGGGAACCGGAGAAAGGTGTATCGAGAGAGAGGCCAGAGGCAAGCAGGTAAGGCCCCTCTTCTATCGCTCTTTTCCCCTTCTACTTAATATCGTTCCCTCTCTTCTTTGTCTTTCTTACTTGTTTACCTCGTTTTCTCGTTTCCTTCTTCTTAGCGAATGGGCCCGTTCGCGCGACGCGTCGCTCTATTCCTTTTTGATCGTCCCTTTATTGTCATTGTAATTACACCTGATAATTTATCGCGGACGAACGCGGCCTTGTCTGATATCACGCTCTTCCTTCCTGCTTTTTGGAAAATAAGGGATGATAGATGGGTGATTGATTTGGCTTCGATATCTAAAGTGAACTGTGACCAACTGGGTTTATTCGAGAAAATTTTAATTAATATTGATTTATGATAAATTTAAAAATGAACAATTCCTGTTCTCAATAATTAGAGCTTCCACATATTTAAATATACATAGTCAACTTTTCACTGTGGCTGTAGAGTGTTAGGATTTTAAAATCTGTTTTTTTTTCATTTAAATTATTCAATTTCAATTTCGTAAGAAATCTCTTGGTTAAAGATGGATACACCGCGAGACAAGATATTGCAACAAATATTCATAAAGAAAGTTGTTCGATTAATTCCAGCAGGGAGCCGGCTTGGACACCGGTCTTTCACGTAGTGGTTGTAGTAAGTTCCTGTATTGCTACTTTCGAACTGTACTGCATGGTCACCCGTTACGTGGTAATTCTACCGACTCTGCCACTGACGTCGCAGCTGTTACATTTCAACTAATCTGTCTATCAAACCACCATTTTGTTAATTAAAAAATCCTCGGAACTCCTTGGTATTCAGCAACTGCAAATTCATAGTAAATTGCATAGAATTGTTGAAGAAATATCCCCTACATCGATTGAAACGTTAAGTTGATTGATGATCAAGGTGAATATATATCTTCAAGTTTTGATTGGATTTAAATTATGTTCAATGGAATTGTAATTGAAGTTTGATAAATTGAATATTTTCAATTTAATTTGAATTTTGTAACTTATTAGAATGTAAAATATACAGATGAGAAAAGAAACGAGAGAATCTCGACACTCTCTTCGTTTCGAGGATACGTAAAAAATTACTTTCAAAAATAACGGATCCTCGATTTACTTTTCTCCCGAGGAGAAAATTAATGTATGCGAAGTGATCGCTTGAAAATCATCGACGAGATGTCCCTTTCAATACTTGGATGTTTCAAGTATTTTCTCACAAAACACTTTGACAATCGGTTAATTTACATAAAACTAAAAATTATTATTCTAAATAAATTATTCTTCTATATAGATACCTTAATTTAAAAAAAAGGAAAAAAACTTTAATTGTAATTTGCTTCAAAATCTTCCATTATTAAATATCATAAATATTTAGATAAGAACATTATTACACGCCATAATATTATTATCTTTAATAGACTTAAATTCGATGCGAACACCGGTGCAATTTCCCGAAACGCATCGAAGCGAATCCGGTCGTTTCCCAATAAGGTGGTAGTTCACCTGTTGTTCAGTTTCTACCGAATGATCTCGAGGAAGAAACGGGCACGGTACTTGAAGGAAGCTGTACAGAAGGATAGTGGCACGATCGTCGAGGTGGGAGGTTCGTATTATAGGTGGCGACCCGAGGACCTACATTCGCGCGGAACGAACGCTTCTCTCCGCGATGTCTGCCTCGATCGAGAAGCCATGGTCGCCTAAAGTATTCGTGTCGATGCCGACCGATTCTCGAATTCCCTCGCCGAGATTCCACTGGAGAAATTACCCTCCCTCCCATTTCCTCTTTCCATTCTTTCTCCGTTTTTCTTCTTCGAGTTCGGTTGCCTTGCATCCGGACCGAGCGTCACGCTCGTGGACCGCGAAATTGAACGGCTGACGTCGCTCGAACGGCGTTCCGCGACTTGGACAGCCGGGAAAAATTAAAAACACCAGGCGAGGGAAACCTTTGTTTAGATGGACGACAATTGCACGATTCTCGAGAATAGTTTGATGATAGAGTCGCTGGGATTTAATGATACCTGGATGAGTTTCGTGATTGTTGAGAGAATAGGATCGTGTCGTTTGTTTACTTTTTATAACACACTTAAGATGATGCTTCTCTTTTATACGTGTAATGAAAAATGAGAAATCAGTTAATTTGTCTTGCGAGGAAAATGCAAATGTAATATACTTTCTTCTTACGATTAGTAAGAACTATAATTGCATAGTTAACAGAACAGGAATAACATGTTAATTTGACTTCTTTCTGATCATTTGACAAATTAAAATGTTTTCACTTTATGTAATTAATTTGGAAAAAATATCGAGGTTGTTTGTTCGAAATAACTACTGGAATTCGTGACGAATGAAGCGTCGACTCGTTCAAACGAATATTCATTCTCTGCACGACACACTAACCCGTTCGTCCCATATAATGAACTAGATTTGTAATGTATGTATGACTTAAGTCACACCTTCGTAGTATCGTTTACTTTAACACGATCCAAGGAAATGTATAATTATAGTTCACTGAAACCATAAAAAGTCAGCTGCAATTATAATAATTTTCTAATAATTTTCATATCCAAGCTTTCAACCTGCTACCTTACTTTGTTAATATCATAGTAACAGAATCATAGGTCAGTTCGCAAAGGAACGACCTAAATTGTGAAACGAACTTTTTCTTTAACACCTTGAATCGTGTAAACACTTATTTGTGTCGTTCTTCCGCATAGCGTCGCCAAGAAATATGCAGAAAATGTCGGCGACAAACGTGAAAAAGGCGTAGTCGAACTTTCTAATTCGATGGCAAGGATCTGTCTAACGAGCGACAGAGCGCAAGGACGACCAGAGATCGTAAAGCTCAAGCGAGCGTAAAAATGGCGGTGCAGCTAGTGAATCGATTCCATCCGTTTGCCAAAGAATCGAAATAAGATTACGTTGTATCTCGTTATGCACCATCGATGTCAATATTACACGTTTCCCTGCGTTCCCCATTATTCTGCTTTTGCGTAATTTCGATATCATTACACCCGGCCGGGCCATTGTACCATTTCACAAGAACAAATGGCGACAATTTTATTCCTCTGACTTTTTCCTTTTCTGGAAAATCTTGAGCGGGCATTTTAATTCGTAATTTCATGCTTGTAAGCGTTTAACATGTTTAGAGATACATTTTAATTAGTTTACTATATACATATTCCGATTGCTCCACTTAATGATTGAAAACGACTTTCCTTGTGCAATGGTAGATGAAACTTGATTCTATATAATTTATTGAATAAATCAAGTTTTCGTTTCCAAGATTAAAATGTAAGAGAGATTGATGGAATGTGGTAGAATCGTGGAATGTGGTAAGACTTGATACTTTGAAGAATTCTGTGTGGCTGGAACGATGTTTTTTGGTCGACGCGCTGTTTCCGCTCTTCTCGCTGTTGAATTTTTAATTCGATATTTTTATTACATTTTTATGTTAATGGTAGAAAATAACTTTCTCACATTGTATTTGATAACGATCGGCCATTTCTATAATTTAGTAATTAAAATATCTAACTGGTGCCACTCTTTAAAATAACGACGTTGACCTGAGACCAATTTAAAAGCAATTTTCCAAATTCTGTCAGTTTGATAGATCGGATCAATGTACACGTTCATTAGCCTCTTTGCTCGTACCCAGTTTACTTCGTTTTTACTTAATTTGTATCAAGCGCCACATTTGAAACGAAACGGTGGACAGAGTGAAAGTGTAGTTAACTCATGGACGAATTGGGAAGGTAAATCGAAGCCAATTAAACGTTGGATCTTCCAAATGTATCGAGTGGTTCGTCGACGAGGAATTCGGATATTGGGTGAACAAGATTCTTCTTCATTTGATGTAAGCTTCTCTTAATTAACATCGACATTCTGAAGGAAATAAACTGGTGACATAGTTCATTCACATCTTTCAAGTATCAATGAGAATTGCAAATGGGACGAGGATCGAAGATCGATTTATAACAGAAAGAATATGGCAATAATTTAGCAAAGCAAAAATCTCGCTAACTTTCACTCTTATCCACGTGATCGGTGTCCCCCTCTTCGCTTTTCTTCGTCACAGTCTTTTAGAGAAATTCATTGCAACTGCAATCGTTGCAGCTGCGTTTGAGACACGCACAGGAAGTCGAAGGTTCGACGTAGGGGAATAAAAATTGTTCAAACTTTCTCGAATCATGTTTACGCTCGGATCTCGAATTACTTTGCACTCTTTCAAAGGTTTCAATTTTTCAAATCCGAATCGTGTTATTTCTCGTGTTTCAATCCTTATTCTGGGAATAATGTGTTCCTATCGTTATATAACAAAGTGGCATAAGGAACGAAATGAAGAAAGATCGAGGAAACACGAGAAACGAGCTTCGAGAATTCGTTGTGTACACGTGACTTATTCACATGTTCCAGTTTCGTAGTTTATTTCACAATCAAACACTTTTTTCTTTCTGTCGTATTTTTCCTTCCTAGCGACTCCTTTGTTCCCCGCGAGAGATGAGAGCGAGACGAATTCACGCAATGCGTGAAATTACGCAAACGAAACTGTTTGCTTTCGTTTCGCGAGAAAATTACTTTTTAAGGGACAATAAATGATAAATCATAAAAAGGTTAATTAAAAAACGAAGAATATAACATTTATTCTACTTCCATGCCAGAATCTGTAGGTTGATCATCTTCTGTTGATTTGTTTAAGGAAGAATTCTCTATATTTTCAGGTTTATCCTCTTCTGAGGATCTTTCTGACTTGTCAGACATTTTAGTCTGTACATTCTTCTTTATGTGCTCCTTTGGTGGCTTATTGGCTTTCTGTAAAGCTTCATTCAAATGTTTTCTACCAAATCTTCTGAATTTAAAATTAGTCATATACTTTAATTCACCATTCCATTTTCTTAGCATCTGACATTGGTTTGCATTTAAAATATCAGTAATTTCTGAAATACAAAGAAAGTGTCATAATTATTCACTTTTGGTTAATTTAGGTAGGTAAAGTAGATTTTTACCTATTCCACAAGTGTTATATTCTTCCTGTTCACGTTCCTTGGTCATCCTAATCACATCTTCCCTGCTTGCATGCTGTCTGTTCCTTTTATTACTTATAGAACGTTTTATAGAAATCTGTTCTAGTTCTTCATCATTCCTTGCTATGTACCTTTAAATTAAAAGCAAAATTACAAATAGAATTAACTCTGGTTTACAGTTATCTACTACCTACGTTTCTAATAGACTGGCAGTTAATTCTGGAGTATAGGGACATACATCTGGGACCATGTGCTCTTTCATCCACATCATTTTCTCTCCTATTAAATTCTGCTTTATCAATCCACTCAATTTTGCTTTCTGTCTGTTTGATATTCTGAAACAGACCACATTTAATGTTTTATAACAAGATACATTAATTCATTCAACATAATAATAATGTAATTTACTTCTTGGTTCTTTTTGCAATGGCAATGGACTTCCTACTATTGGGATGCGCAAGTTTCTTTGCCTTCATGTACTCTTTCTTCAGTGCAATATCCTGCAAGATGAATTATGATAATCAGTTACAGTTCTGACATTAAAGAAATCTTCTGTTTATATATATAAATTGATTAAATCTTACCATGTTGACAGTTTGTTGTAATCAATGGTCTAACCTTTTAAACTTCAATACAGACTACAGACCATGTGGTTGCTCAATTGATCTGAAACAGAAGTCCAAACAGCAATGGTGGCGCCTCCTATCGACAATCAGGCCAACACTAGCTTACCTTTGACATCTTTTGGCTAACAAATTTCAAAATTTTTCTTCTGTTTTATGTTATTCCTTTACACATTTAGATAAATATTGAAATAATAACCTACTCTTAATGTTTTTACCATTACTTGACACTTACTACTGGTACTTAAAAGTACCATTCATCGGAAAGAAGAAGAACATTTGAAGAAAGTGGTTAACAGGAATGAGAGTGTTCCTCGTGATACTTTGCTTTTTAATCTTAATATCAAATGGAACAACTTTTGGTAGAAGAAAATCTCCCAAGTGTAGGGTGGATTGTGAAAATGCTTCAAGTAGAATAACACCTGAAAATAATGAAAATGAAACATCCATTTATCGTTATGACTGCGATCCAACAAAGTTTGGAGTAGTGCAGAAAATCCCTTATCTGCGCTCATGTTCTACATGTGACACCATAGAAATTGATTTCTCCGCCGCCTGCATTAGATGTAGCATGTGTCTTGCTATTGCTGATAAGGTTCTACTTCCTTGCATAATATAAGAAAATAAGTATTATTTTACTAATATCCTGCTTCGTAAGCATCGCTTGCATAACGAACTACTGCACGTAATAGCAGGATATAGTATCAAATTGTTGCAATATGTATAAGAAATACAAATAATGTGTGGAGATTTATATAAGTAATTTGATATACATTTTTTAGATAAATCAAACGTTATTGGATGTTCACGAAATATTATCTAGCTCATGCTTGAACGACACCGAAATCGAGCTCTTGTTGAGAACCATTTGCGACCACTCCTTCCAATAGTACATTAAATTATTCCTATTTCTGGTACATGAATTAGAACACTATTAGAGCTAGAAAATCATTACTTTTGCAGTTATAGTCTTCGAGAAATTGGTGGAAGAAGGTTCATCTGCGACTGGCAACCAGGTTCCATTTTGGTCTCCTCGTCGGCAGATGGTTTATGGCCAGACAAGTTAGCAATTAGTACTTATAATAGGTACTGGGTAATTAACGTTATTTTGATGTGGATTTTTCTTAGATTGAGGGATCTGTGTCATTATTATCTCGATGAAATCGGAGAACTGCGATTATATGAAAAATGGCAGCAGTGGTGCAAAGATGCCGAAACATATCCCAATTTGACGAACGTTTTGTGTCGGTAATAAAATGAATAATAAGATGTTGATTGATTGTTTTTATCGGGAAATTTTTTAGAAGCATGGAAGGTATGTTACACGATTGCAGAAGCATGGAGGGCCCAGGTGAATACGAAACTCCATTCAAAACTTACGGTGCCAAAGTGAAATTTAGAGCAAGCTACGATAAGTATAACTAATATAATTAACAAGGAATTTTTAATATGGAGAAACAGGAAATTTAATAGCACTTTATTTTACGCTACATCGATGGAAACAACAAATTAATTGATACATATATGTTTATTAATTCTACTATTTTACGTGTACATACATTTATATGAGTTTAATACTGAAACAATTTATAATAAATTATGTAAATTTTAATAATACTGACAATTTTCCATTTAAAGCAAAGTGCTGCTGATATTACTTTAAATGTGCTTCTTTTTAAAAAGATCACTACAGACGTGTTACTTGCACTAATTGTGCATAAAAATTGCTTATTTTATTTAAAAAAGCAATTTTCGGCATTCAGTGTTGTCGCTTTCTACTAGCTGACAGTAGCAACACTATTTCCAATGGGCGCGAATATGAAATTAAATATAAGCTTTGATTAACGTCCCCTAAAATCACTGATGGAAAGGAAATATCGTATCATCGTTGCTCTCATTATCCTTGGATCGTTTTCCAAACTTTTCCTTATGTAATCCATAGAAAGGAGTCCAATTCGTACGCTTAGAACCCGTCTGCTTTCTCGAACCACAAAATGCCTGCTCGAAACGCGGATAACTCGTTTTATCTTCCGAGTGTGTCTCTTCATCTTTCTCTTTCTTCCTTTTGAAAGATGATTCTTTAAATGTTGGTCTCTCCTGAACAGAAGTAGACGGGTTCGAAGCGAAGAATTTGTTGTCGCTCTTCGTCGAATCATCTCGAATATGCAATTGTGACAAATGTGGGAAATGAGGGAAATGGGGTAGATGAGGCAGGTGAGAGAAATGCGGCATCAGATGATGCTGTCGCATCCCACGAACAATGGTGTCCTTCATTTGTCGACGTTTATTCCAAATTCTTTCTACGATCCATATCGAAATGGCCGACACTCCGCCAGCTATCAAGATAAAGAAAGCGGAATAGACGTCGGTTAATCTGGCACTGTGAAAAGTTGTGGGTAATTTGCATCGGGGCATTTCGGGCAGCATTCTTTCGGTGATTCTGTTCAATACCCCACGTTCTCGGATTTTCAGGATGCTATGAAAATCAATATATCATCGATGAAATGTTAGAAGAGAATTTTGTCGAACGTTTGAATTACTTACTTTAAATTAATGACCTTTTTATAGGGACAAGAATTAGCCATGGGTAGAGCCACCATGGTGAAGGTCTGCGGAAGTGGTAGCTCCCTTAACGAACACCTTTCCTGTATCAACGTCGACCTAAGGGCTCGTCTTGCCAAGGTAGCGCTCACGAAGAAACCATAGTGCCCTTTCACGGCCTTCGCGAGACCGGAAGTCGTGTCCAATCGAGACTCTCGGTTGTTGAATGCTCTTATGTACAATTCTCGAAGATTACTATCATTCACGTTCTATAGAACACATAAATTTTATGTTAACTTAATTTTAAACGACCCTTCTAATTTTGTTTTACTAGACTTACTCTGATGTACTCGTCGTCGGTTCTGCTGTATCCTAATTTGAAATTGTGCGAAAGAATGTCTGTGATTGATCTGATACCACTGGTCTGTACTGATAATATAGAAGTAATGAAACCAGCGTAGGCACTGTATGTGACTAGAGAAAAAATTAAGCTGAATAGGAGTACTGTTTTTCCAGATGGATTTCTTGGTATCCATAGTGAACCTGTTAGCACAGAATCATGAATGAATTAGCTTCTTATTGTGGTATGATGTAATAATGAATCATGAACAGAACACCTTGCATGCACATTATACTGATGCACCACAATGTAGCCTCTCCTATTCCAATGTGTTTCTCTTCTTCATAATGGAGAACATTCTTCGCAGCGTAAATAATTAATCCCATTACAATTAATATAACAACGTATGTGGAAGCAACACATCCTAGAAGGTAATTATTGAATGGTTGTCGAAATATGTCTCTCATCGTACCAATCTCTAGGGGATGATAATAAATGTTTCTCCTGCATAAAAATATTCGTTCAATATCATCATCGTTTCCACAAAATAAGTTAGAAAATATAAATTTTTTTACATGTAGCGAATTAATGGATGGCTGAACGTCATTTCCGTTTGCCGTTCCTCGTTCACAGTTATGTATCCCAAACCAATATCCACAGTTCCGCTCACCACATCTCCAAGAAGATTGTTCCAGACTTTGTTGTTCAGAGTACCCAGCTTCTGGTGTGATACTAATTCTATGCTGAAAAAAGTTCCATAACCGTGTGTCTGATCGTGATCGCTAAATTGCACATTTTTCCTGTTAATCTGATGAATAGTTCGTTAAATAATGTTCTAATAGGATGTTCTCAACATGTTCAGAAACTTTTGATAACGTTGTTGCAACTTTTAAACTTTTATTCACTTATTATTTACTAACAGTAAGTTGCAAAAGTTGTGACCTCAGAAACTTTTCTCAAACTTTCAAACATTATTTCCTTATTAATATCAAAATTGAAAGATAACAAAATTGTAAGAGTAATTAATTCTATTATTAGTCACTTTAAATATTCTTACGATTCAGTATTATTTCATTAAACTAAATTAGTCATTGAAACTCAATCACTGGCCTTCTCTTTTTGACCTTATTAACAAAAAATTTGTTTTGACAACGATAGAAATTTATGTCGTTTTGTGTTAAAAATGTAATATAATTAAGCTCACGATTAATCATCGCGCTAATTATCTAATTTCTGATACATATTTAATTAATAGAAAAAACAATCTTCGATTTCCAGAATACAAACCACGTTTCTTTTAAACATGACGTCGTTTTATCATAAAAACTGATACAGAACTATTATTAATAAACGCGTGACTATGAAAGAGTCGTAGTTCAACTTTCAAATATTCTGCCATAGTACATGGACACATATACGCGTCGATAGATAATTCTTTAACTTTTGATACATATACGTATATATATAGAGTGTTAGATTATAAGTGACACTTGATATACAGTGTCAACCTGTATCATTTCACTGATACCGAAGTAGTCAGTAGTGGTTTTTTGCGAGTTCTTCTCTTTTTTTAAATAAAAGATAAGCAAGAGTAATAGAATCGAAATAAATTCGCAAATTTTACAATGTAAATTGCCAGAACCCATCGTTTTTGAAAAATTTGTAAATTTTCAACCTCGTTGAGAAATAATTACATACCTTGCATTCACACTGCTGGTAACAAAACTGGCAAAATCAATAAGGGGAGCAATATCATCCGTCTCCTCTTCGGTAGAATCCATCTCTCCGTCAATAGTTCCATTTAATACTCCAAAAACAATTGGTAATCCTTTGAAGTCATTTCGTAATTTGACACTCGTTGGATTGTGAAAGGACCAAGAGTCTTGATTCCAGGATCCAAGAAAGTTTGTTACCAGACTGGTATTATCACCGTATCGGATCTTATACACATGGACGAAATAGAAGAATACGGTTCGTTTCTCCAAAATCGCATAGTTTAGGTTGATCGATGCATTTTCGTCGAATTTCTTGCTCGGTGGCTCATGAAATTTAAAATGATCTCCATAACGTTGTAAGAAGGAACAGGTTCTGGAAAGAAATAATAAGATTTAAATGAAATGAATAGTGAAAAAACGATTTTACATCCAAAATACGTATATTGATACCTTCCCGGTAGTTTTTGAATTTTCGAGTAGAATGAAGAAGGTGTAGCAACCACGACATCACTATCAATACCGATATTCAAATGTCGAAGCACCGTATCGATCGTAGCATCATTATTTCTCGTTGTAATCATCAACCAAGAGATATAATAATTAAACAGAAATTTCTGAGATGCCTGTAATCATTTTTTTGTTTATTAACTAGACCACTTCATTAATCAGCTGTTAAAACGCACACGAGTTTAACGTTGAGGTATTATCGTTCAATTAAAATAATCATAGCTTGTACTGAAATTTATGCAATTCGATCGATTTGTTATATAAATCTGATTAGATGCTAAATATCTGTTTATAAGTCATCGAATTAGTTGCTACATTAGGGAAGCGATGTGCGATAAAATTTGTCGAATATGATATGAAAAACAATATATTAATAAAATTTACAAAACTTGGGAAGAAAGGTGAGAGAAGCAAATGAGTTATATTTATCCCCCGAATCGTTTTCGTATGCAATTGTATTAATAAAATGATTAATACAGCTAATTAGCAACAGTACTTTGATCAATGACCAAGTTTATTAATTATTCAATAAATGGCAGTTTCGCGACTGGAAAGTAATTAAAAAAACCGTAATTACTAAAAACAATGTTCGTTGAACAGGTACGCAATATTATACTTTTCTGTTCTCCACGTATAAATTACTTTTTTCATAGTAACTTAAATACAAGCATAAAAATAGATATCAAAACAAGATATTAGAATCCATACTGAAATTAATATTGAAAAGTTGTACAAATTTGCAAGGTATACGATTCGAGTAAAAAATTACAAAATCCAATCGTCTGCTACCACAGATGAAAAATAATCATTCTGTTTATGCTCGTATCGATAGTAATTACAAAATAACTTCCTCAAATGCTAAGATATGAAGTTTTAATCAGAGATAAACATCAGGGCAATTTTTTGATGTGACATGGGTCATAATAATTATGGAAACCAATTCAGTAATAAAATTAAAATGATGGTTAATTAAACGTGTTGACAAAAATGAAAAAGTCAAAACAATTCCAAAGGAAAGTATTTAAATTGCTGATGATGTTTCAATATTTCTGAATTAAAATTTCTATATTTTAATATTTATAAGTTTAAAACTGTATTTATTTCAGATAGAAAAATATAACTTTTCCTACTTAAACTTTAGTCGATCTCCCAGACTCATGTTTACTAGATAAATTCCCCATCTAGAGTTAACTACTTTTGAAAGGGTAAAACTCGCAGGTAGTGCTACATGGAACTGTAAAACATTGCTCCGATATTTGTCTCTGTATTAAAGACATTGATAATGTTTGTTCACGTGTTTCTCACCACATGAAGAACATTCTCAGGGGACGTGAGATTTAACCCGTCCAACAAAACGATCGATCCGATCCGATGCTTCTGGATCACAAGGGCATCTGGTACATTCGGATTGACAGCTGACTGAATTGATACGCTGATTCCTTCTTCGGCGAAACATGCCATCAAAGGTCTCGTATAAGTAAATACACAATCTGTTCCAAAAAAGAAGTACAGTAAAATTAAATGATATTAATGATAGAATTTGAATAAAAGTTACAGGTTCACGACCTCCAGATTACACGTGATTATCATTTTTATTACGGGAAAATAACACGCTTAAATTCGGCAAACGTTTCCATACATACAGACTGTAATATTATTTTCTGTGTCACTGCCACTTGAACGTATTATATAATTGATAGTTAACACGTTGAATGCCGCGAGGGTCAACGGCGATCAGCGAATTTAGCGTAATCGAATAATCGAGAGAAAAAAAATTGAAGATAGTTTTAAGTGATTTTGATGTAGTATTTCTTACACGGGGTATCATATCGGAAAGTTTAATTAAAAAATGAAAATATAAAAAAACTGATACTCGAAGCGTAAAATTTGATTTTACTCACCAAGAGAAGTTAAATTTTCGAATAACACTAGCTGATCCCACGATTTCCATTTAGCAAATTCCAGAATTAATTGCAAAGTTAAAGGCGATGGCAAAATGCAGTTACTCATTGCCATGCAGAACGTTGTCGTGATAAGAAATCCTTTTTTCATTTTTCTCATTTTTTTTTTTTAATAAGAAAAAGGTAGCTCGTTATCTGTAACAGGTAAATTTATTTCTAACCCATAGTGTAATATTTCTGTATCGACGTACATTTAGTTTCGTCTGACTTGAAATCGACGATGCTGTTTCGATTGACGTTGATTGTTCCACTAGCGAAAACTGACAATAATTGACGAGCTTCCTACCTACATATTATTACTGAGACCCTCCATTTTATAAAATATCAAGATTAAAATTTCTACAATATTCTTAAGATTTTATTAAACATCAAAGTATTCAATTGAACTTTTTTTTATACAAATCATAAAAATTATCCACATCTTTTCAAAAGTATTGTTAGAATTATTACAATTATTAAAGATTGGCAAATCTTGGATTCAGTATCAATTCAATTGTAATTAATAGCAGCAACAAAATAAAATAAAATTGTTCACTAAATTTCTTCTAACACGAAACGTCTTAGACAGCGATCGAACATAGACTGAGGATTATTCTGGGTGTAGCCCTTTGAATTTCCACCATTGAACGAAGGTTGTAGGTGGCAGAATACCCTGTGTCGTGTCCAAAGGCTTCCATCCTGTTTACTAATTACAAATAAAGTGATTCCCTAAGGATAAAAAGACCTTACGGTTAAGTAGATTCAAATATCGCTTAGGGAGGGACGAAGAGATCAAACATAATGGGTCCCATAGGTCATCATGAGTGACTGTGCAGGATATAGCAGTTTAAAAATGTAGAAGACTAAAATATTGATTAAACATCTACGTTTTTTCGTCCTTAAACGACGTTCTTAAACGTAGTTATTCATCCTAAACTTTTTAATTACTGCTTCAATCCTTTGAATGTACCAAATCTGAATCGCCTGTAGGGTTTGTAGAACGCAAGATAGGCATAATACTTTAGTTTTTATTGCATTAACATTGTCACAGTTGATGATTCTTCAACGACACTGCTAAATAATCATTACGTGCTAATTGTGAGGCAAGGTATTTTTATCAGCTCCATCCTTTGAAAAAATTGACTTGTAAATGTAACTAAACCTCTGTTTTTGAGGCATGGTTCCTACAAAAAAGTGACATTTGCAATACTGTATGAAATTTAATTTATAATGATTAATAATGCAAAAATCATTTGCTGTAAAAGTAGATTTGTAATAGAAAGAACTAGCGATGACAAGCAACCTAAACTCTCTACTTTCAACCCAAATGACAGAGATCATTCTTCAGGTGGTAAAAGCATCTTTTTAGTCTCTGACTCCCTTATTTTTGCTTTTAAAGTAGGGGATATTTTTGTTTTCACAGGAAACAACAAAAGTCAACTTGCAGATAGTGAAAAGCATTTTTTTTTAATTTTTTATCTCTTTTCTTACTTTATACGCGAACAATAGGAATTAACTTATAGATTGTGAAAAATACCCTGTTTTTCCTCTTCTTTAAAGGGGTTAATTATAGCCGCCTTGTCGCGTTTCACTGACGAACGTGTCTCCAGGGAAATGATGTAGAATATCAAGACTGATATTAAATTGAAACGTCGGTCGATTTTTCGAATATTCTACAATGAAACTATAGGGTGAATAAGATCAAACACGGTGACTCAGTAAAGTAAGAATAATTTAACATAATTTAACGAATTCTGTGCGTACGTTTATTGCATAATTTAACACTTTCACGTCAATAGAACGAATTTTTTTTTTTTTTTAACTTTACACTCAACGACTGCAGTAACTATTCTAGAATGGTTTTTTCTAATAATCCGTTTACAAAAAGAAAGGAAAAATTTAACGTTTTACAAATATGTTTATTATGCTCATTTCCGGTTGGTCATGACTGCTAATCATTGGTAAAAGTATGCGAGTTTTGAAAACGTTCGATCAGAAGAGAATGGGTTTCGTTCTGTTTGCGAAAAAAAAAATCAGTGCAGCAGGCGTATTGACGTTTGCGGAGAAAACCCGTTGAATGAGGACAATGATGTGTCGATAATAGTATTTACTTCGGGTCGACAGAAAATCGATGAAATTGATGCAATCGAAGTACGAACAACGAAGAGAATCGACGCTCATTATTCTTTCTGACGAATACCAACCATTTGTTTGTTCAGAATCACAAGAGAATCATTCGATCCATTGTTTTCTATTAGGCGTACAAATGAATCCGATGCACCTTTCTAAATTGAAAATTTGATTTTAGAAAATCATTTACATTGTCATATTGCAGTCTTTCAGGAGAATTTTAATTTCTTAATATTCAAGAAATTGTGCAAAATTTTATTGGAGTACTTCCAAGTACATAGTTTAAGACTGTAAAATTCGATTGTTCAAAAAAGATTAAAGAAGTTTGATGTTATTAATTACCTTACTTTTCAATTTATCAATAAAATAGAATTTTTAACTTGCCAAAATGGCACAGGTTTCTTATTTGAACTTAAAAACGTTATTAAAATACTCCATTAGAATGTTTAAAAAGACAGACTTTTTTTCCATTCTGGAGAAATTTCAGGTAATTAAGTGATTAAAAGTCGATTGATTAAATTATTATTTGACCAAATGCAACGGTCAAGTGTCCTGACACACGTGTCGGTTAAAATTTTTTTTATTGTCTCCCAGAATGTACACAAGTTCAAGGTGTAAAAAATTAATTTCAATAATCTTTACGATCTATAAAAATCCGGCGAATATTGGAATCAACAAAAACCTATGTAGAGACACGACTGTTTTATTGGCACAAAGTTTATTGAAGTTGGACAAGGTTTATCAGAATATAAATTGAATTATTACATGGCACGAGCACATTTTTTTATTCCACCTATTTTGTACAAGAAATGGTATCAAGTTCATTATCACAGTTATCATTAATTTCTAGAATCAACAATTTCCCTGATTATTTCCTAGAATTATTAAAGAGTTAAACTATCTTAGTCAGTTCTACAAATATATCAGTTCTGAGAATTTAGTTCTAACCAAACAAAGGAGCACTTTGCTCAGCAAAATTTTTCTAGAGAATTTGGGAAATATCAAAAAATATCAAAGGGTTCATCTTAACTCAACTGATAGTAGAATGTTTTTCCTTAAATTTTGGAATAATAATGAACTACTGATATAATTATTTTCCCAAATTGTGAACTAAGGAGTCGATTACTAATTCAAATGGTCCAACCCCTAAAGCGTAGGGGTTTTTGGAAAATGAACAAGGAAACGTGGTTCCAATTGTAATGGATGATTCAGCATATCCAAGTATACTTCACGATACATGGAATACGTTTGTGGTCTCATACACATTATGACTGGGAAGGCGAATCTTTTTAATGCGATCTCAAAGTTCACCCTAATAATTCGGCACTCAACTGATGTTAGAGCATTCACGTGATTCTGTCGTCAGAATTATACACTCGTATCGCTGACGCAACGATGCCACGAGGAGAATTTGAACTTTGGATTTTAGATTAATTTTAGGAGAATGACACGAAGATGGTACCAGGATGACCAGCCTTTCTTCGATGAATAATAGGAACTCGTCATCTAGAAACTGAAGAGTGGAGAAAATTCATGATACAAACATTATCTTTGGTAAAAAATCTGGAACTTACTAGTAAACAATGACTACATAATAAATTGCTTATGATTTTTAGAATTATACATATATCGTAAAACTCAGTATGCCCTGTAATCATTATGCAGACAGGATAGGTTTTATCAGCATCGATACTGCCTTCTTAATTAAATGCATTTAATGCATGCACCTTCGATTTTTTCTTAAAACTTGTTCTATATCATTAATTACACCATAAAAGTTTGTGCTAATGCTATAATTTATTTAAATCACTTATTTTACTTTCCATATTTTTGCATGTTCTAAATATTATACCAAACTTCTGGCATATGATTCATATGTTTAGTATACACTTAAATGTCATAAATGCATAAATAATCGTGTCCGACAGGAAGAACATAGACTGACCATATACGATACTTGGTCTTTCGATTTTCTAATGAATTTTGCGTGTGCATATCATCATATGCAATGTCAGCCCGCTACGTCGATAGCTACAACTGTAAGCTGCAACAAGATAAACCAAATTGAGGTACAAAACAGAAGGAAGTCTTTAACATTCAGTGATTGGATAGAATAGAGCGTAATGTAATAAAAATCCACGTTAGTTGAACAACACACGTGAAAATCTGTGAATTTTATTATGGAAATACTCTTATACAGGTATTCTATACATGCGATTACTTTAGTGACAAGCTGCAAATTTGCAAATAAAACAGCCGTTTGCATTTCAAAACTATTGATAACACAATTATGAATAATTTTCCGCTATAATGTGTGAATTGTTCATAAATTATGATCACTAAACACATATTTGTAATGTACACAGGTTGAGCTAAATGGAATGTACTATAACAGATGTTTATTTTATTTTCTTCTTTTTAACACACCCTGTATGTAGATAAGAGAGTAACCCTTTTATATGGACTGCATAATCGACTGTAGATAATGGTCAAATTTTTAGAAAAAATTCAAATTGCAATTATGAATTAATTCCGATTGAAATCAGTAATTAATTGAGTAATGTGTAAAATGAGATACCGTTAATCTACCCAAATTTTCACATATGTACTATGATATCTCTTATAGTAAAAAAATAATAATAAAACAGTTCAGTAACATCCAAAGATTGCGAAAATGTATTAAAAAAGGAGGAAGTTACACCTTTGCATAGATAAAAATGAATTGCGCAACTTAAAAATTCTCCAATATTATTTATAAATAAACTTTTTATTGCAAAATTTCCACTGAATCAATCATCTCTCAATCACTCTTCATTCACATGTTCAAACATAATGTCACGTATATACCGAAAAAAAAGTCCATGTTTTTTGCCACTTTATCATTTCAACCTTTAGACTTCTTACTGTGCACCAAACACAAGAAGTCTCGCGAGACAGCATAGAGGCAAGAGGAGGTACTACACACACATCGACTAACCCCCTAGTTTTACACGAGACTAAATAATAGATGTGACTGCTTCGACCAATCATACGTCACGACCGAAAGTAAGTATGAGCTGCGACCAATCAGATTGCGTTATTCTCAAAGGACTTCTTGTGATCGGTGGGCAGTACCTACAATTTCTCAAAGGTCGATATTAAACAAAAAAGGACAGAAGTTCCTATAAACTCTTTCAACAAACATGTGTTTTTTTTTTTTTTTTTTAATTTATGAACCCGTCCAAAGTGCAGAATCAAATAAAAACATTCTGCCAAATCGATCGTTTGGAGGTTTTATTGAGAAAGATACAGGTCAAAGCCAGTCACATTGAACAGCATCCTCAACGCAGATTGTTTCGGTTAAAGATCACGTAGGCAGCTACCTGTACAGCGACTGTACGTTGCTCGCAGATGAACGACGGAAGAGTGCCGTTAAGCGGCGCCAGCGTCGCTTCCGCCAGGCTTCGAAACGCGCTCGTCGTCGTGCTGGTGTTTGTCGGCAATCATATTTAGCTCCGGTCGCGTGGAGCCGGCATTTCAGTCGTGCTTTGCTGTCAGATCGTTCAGTTCCAAGGAGACGCGTTACACGAAAAGGTGAATCTAACCGAACGGTTCCCATTGAACGTTAAGGAGGGACGAGTCTCGTGTGACCTTACATTTATTTTGCGTTTTACGATCGTGTATTAACTTGTGCACACATCAAGGGACGACGAGTAGCGGTAACATTCATCGAAAAGGTTACCTTGCCGAGAAGTTTGTCGAGGATAGCTACAAAGGTATGTTTCTTTTTTTTTTTCCAACCTATAAAGATGGTACGTTACGGGCGACCGTGTGTTATCGTTGAGAATCTTTGGAAGTATCGACCGCGGGATAGGTGTTGAGAAATAGAAACCAACAAAAAGCTTCCCGTTCTCTCTCTTTTTTCTTATTACCATTATTTTCTATCGAGGTATTCTTTTCCATACGTTTTGCGATTGTTCGTCGTACGACCGGTCATTGTAGCATCGCGTGATCGGACACCTCACGTCGTTTGAAACTTGTCAGCGTCTCAAGATGATGTAATTTAACATTGTTTGATATTTCGCCGGAGAAATTAAAGGAACTAATTAAAATCTCGTCGTACGTGTGATCATTTTGCGTTATTTCACCGGCTTTAGCGAAGCGGATTTCTCTTTTTTTGTCACACAAGTGAAATTTTGCCGAATTTAACCACTAATAGCCGTTTATCAAGCGCGACATTTTTGATAGTCATTCAAATTGGACACTAGCGTCGTAGACGGGCGGCGCAGACCGTGAAATTTCGTTCAATTTAAAAAGCGCAAAATTAACTCGTTAATTTCCAAAACTTCAAAAATAGTAATTTTCGTTATAAATTCACGAAATCACGTGCGAATCATTTGTTAACAAATTTTTATTAGAATAAAAGTAATGTTTTCGACCTCTGGAAATTTAGTGGGTTAATCGACCAGTCTCTGCGAACCAGTTTATGTTCATGATACGGTATAACCTAGAGAAAATTAACGCAAGCCGGTAACGTGAATCGTGTGGCATGTTTTGTAGGTAACGATAACAGTAGGAGCGTACAACTATGGTCGCACGATAACCAGCGTCGGACTCTGCGTCAATTTGCGAAGGTGTTAATAATAATCAGATCCACGTCGTCGTTCGATACGACGCAAAAATAGTTGAATTCATTTCATTACGGCCGACAGTTTTTTTTATTTATAGTCGTGTATATATATATGATCTTCTTTTGTGTCGTTGTATATCCATTCGAGAATACCTACGTGCTTTCCTACGCGTATAATTTGTTCGGCGTAACCTCGTTAGCGCTCTTTTTTTACATTTGTTTATTAAATACAAACAGTGCGTAAACTGTAATATACCTTTGCGTTAAAATCATTGAAATGGTTTTTGATAAAATAGCATAATAATTTTTTAGAATAGTCATAGGATTTAATTGCCATTTATATATTAAACAAAAAAATGGGGTCAATTTTGATGTTACTATATTCATTATATTATATTTCTAATCTATAACAGTTAGTTAAATTCTGAATAAAAGACAGATAAAATTAAAGTCCTTCGTAAGATCGAAGACCCGTTCGACGAGCTTCCTTTTTTGAAATTGGCGGGAAACGAGGTTTCTCGATCGTTCGCGAACGGCATCAGGTTTGAAATGGCACACAGAGCGTGCGTGAGTTTCCCCGATGAAACACACCTGTTGAATCGTTTGTTTGGAAACATTTCTTCGTCTGCTGACGGAATCTGAACATGTATCTAGTCAAGCTCCAAGTAATTTTCGACATTGGTTTCTGCCCGGAGGAAGGTTTCCGTTCACCGTTATCGAAATTCACGATTGTTTTTTCGGCGTGTAAATCAAGCCGTAAAACCGGTTGCTAAAAATCTTGTGAATTCGTTACAAAATATTTTGTCACGTTATAGGTAGATTCCGAATATGTATTGTTTAAAATACAAGGTTGGAATTGAATTCATTTGCCAACGATTTTAATTTATTATTTTTAGAAATTCTATATAATCATGAGAATTATTGTTAATTATTGCCATTTTATGGTTAATCTATTCGCGACGCGTCATTTGCAATTTCAGCCGCGAATCGACACGAGGGTGTAATCGCCCACCGGAAACACCAATTCGATTAGGGTCGATTCATGGCACCGGTTCGATCCAGCTTCGTGTTGCATGTTGGATGATGGAAAATAGTTTTGCACGTAAAAAAGAATGTGATCTATATGGCTTGAAAACCGTTATGTATTATTAATGAAGAAAAAAAAAGTAATTATAATTTCATATTGAACTTTATAGTGTTATTAAGAAAAAGCAATAAAACACACGTGTAATTAAAACTTTACCATGGCACTTATGTGTTATGATTAACATTTATGATAGCAAATAGTTATATCATTTTAATCGTCGGTAATAATTTATTGCGTTTTCAAGAACGCTTGAATAATATCCGCGCTTTAATATAAGGTCGATCACGTATCGGTGCGAACTTATGGCGTAATTGATTATTATTCCATGTATCTATGTGATGAAGTGTTCTTACATGTTTAATTTGGCTCGATTTGGATTTGTGTCTTCGAATAACTAGATTATTTTATTTTTATCTTTCAATGTAATAGATTACTCTGAACATTCTAAGCATTTTTGTATCGATAAAATTAATACAAGAATTTATCCGCTTTACAAATCAGGTAAAGAAGAAGAAATGAATGAACTACAGCTGTATTTTTTTTAAATACAACGTAGTTACTAGTATTATGCATCCTGCTTATTTATCGAAGGCAATAAAAATATATGTTCACTTTTATTACATATTTGTTTCACAGTTCAGATTTCAAAAGATTTCGATCTCATGAAAAAAAGTATATTTATGCGTTTGAATAATACATTTGCATCGCGTCTGCTGAACATAAAGATTCAATAGAAAATTGCATCAACATTGACATTGAAAGTAATCATTTATTTGAAAGTTAAATTATTAAGTTTATCCTTGGTATTTTCACTTAGATGTTGATATACTTTTACATTTGTTGAATGTACTTTTTTTCATCGGTACATACATCACGACACCTTTCTCCGTAGATCGGAAGTACTCGCTTCCATATCTCTTCCGTTACAACTCAGAACCAGTTTTGTTACATGTCCGTATCTTGTTTTGTTCCCATAATATCGGACAGATGAAAACGACATTAGAATTCCTTCATTTTCAAAGACAGAGCAGAACGAATTGTAACAATTTGTCGAAAAGTTATAATTTCAATGAATCGTTCCCCGAACGCTTTCATAATTTTGCCCTCCTTTCTTCAACATATAATTTCCTTTTCAATGAAATCTATTCATTTAATCGAGGAAATTTTGAAGTGGAACAAATACGATTCGTTCTGGAGACGAGTGCAAGGACAGTGCCTCTTCAGGGATACCAACATGTATACCTATTTAAAAATTTAAATACAGCAGGAAAAGATATGAAAATACAGCGAATCTACATATATTTAGCGTTTTATTATTATGATTCTTTGAGAACATAAGAGATAAGGGCCGTTCGCGTGCTGCAGATTATCTGTGTTTTCGTTAAGACGCGTTTCCATAAAGAATACGTAATCTCTTTGAGTGATGTAATGACGGTTTTCACTTTCCAAATTGATGTCCGGCTGACTATAAGTCTATAAGGCTCACGTAACACGCGGACAAGGAAGCGAGCCGAAGTCTCGCGATCCTCTCGCGTCGCATAACATCTGTTGCAGTTTGGTGCACTGGTACACTGGCTTGCACATTGATCAGCCGCTCGTGCGCATACGCCTGTGCTCAGTCGCGCACGTGACTCGCTTACGCGCATGCGCAGCGAATGATCCGATGAATTTGAAAGTAATTTTGAAATGGCGAGCATTAGGTGACATACCCAAATGTATTGTCTATTATATTATGCTTTAGACTTATGCCACAGGTTTAAAGTCTATTAAAATATAACCACAAAATACAACATATTCGCGAAAATTTTAAAATTATATTAAAATTCTAAATTAAATGTACAGAATTGAATATTTTGATCCTCTTAGTTGATTCTGGCATTTAAATGGTAAATAGATAATTCTGAAACACTCCAGTGCTAAAAGATCATAAGCAAAGCATATTTGCACACTATAAGGTATACAGTGTGAAGAGTATTTGTCAAATATTGATAATAATGAGTGATGCTTACTAATTTTTAACCGACTTGGAAAAGGAGAAGGTTACTCAATTCGATTAGTATTTTTTATTTTTTATATTTTTATGTATGTTCGCCGATTACTCCGAGACGGATGGACCAATCGGAACAAAACCTTTTGTATCTTATAGAATATGTCTATACTATTATACGCAAAATTAAAAATACCCGAATAAACGATGCTGACAATAACGATTTGATCGCGGTATGGCGAACTTGGTAATTAATAAGTCGTAAAAAAAAATACGGAACGTTAAAGATACGGCCGAAAAGATTTGTATGTGTAACGATTGTATCAGAAATTGACACAGGTTGCCGACGCCTGAACTAGGATCTTCCTGATAGAAGAGAAGTTTTTAATTTTGTACCGCCCCCGAAAAGGTTGAAATGTATTTAGTATACTATTTAACGATTAAATAGGTTTTATTAATAGCTGTGGAGTATTGGTATAAATGAAACAGAAATTATTTTAAACTGTTTAGCGCATCTCGAAGATGGTTGTACTTTTTCTTAAAAATTATATATGTAACATACCAGAAGATACCTGAACTTACTTTTCCTTTGAACTTACTGTCTTTTTGTTATTGTGTTTCAATTACTCACAGAATGCCTTTTACATAACTGGCCGGTTAAGGGTGATGGATAATCACGACTGAGACATTTTACATGAGCATTGCATTGTATATTTCGTACCTTTATTCTTTATGACATTCTGCTTCTGTCATTTAGGCAATTAGGTATACTGTAACAGAAATTACTAAGAGAGCTAACAAGCAGCCACTGTATGATGACGTAGTGTGTTAGCTTTCCACGCAAAAATGATGATCAAGTTTCATAATGAATGCTTCTCGTTGCATCAGTATGGCCACGAAACGTTCGTTCCATTAAGTTTCGGTTAATCTCGTAGATGACCGTAGTAAATAGATTCATTACAACATATTTACGTGGCTGCGCGATCCTGATACACGTGTTCCTACGTACTTACTCATTTCAGCGTCAACAGATGAACGACGAAGCATGATTAAAAAAGAGTCATTAAATCAT